TTTTCGTTTCGTTCGGTTACGTTATTAGTTTTTTTGTTTAGGGAGGGGGGGGGAAGAGAGACGAAGAGAGACGAAGAGAGACGAAGAGAGAGGAAAAAGGGAACGCAAGAGAAGAGAAGCGAAGGGAAGAAATTACGCCTTCTCCTGCAACCCGAAATTCAACAAGTAGGGCACCACCGGCCGCTCCACGACCGCCACTCGCTGCGCGAGCTTCTCGGGATCCTCGCAGATCTCGGTGAAGGCTCGGAGCGAGGCGGCGGTGTGGTTGGCGGCGCGCTCAAACCCCTCCACGGCGCCCCGCAGCGCGTTCAGCCGCTCCCGCTCCACCCCGTGTCCGCTGCGGAGGCTGAGCATCGCCTTCGCCTTCCCGGCCGCGCCCTCCGCGGCCTCGCTGGCCTTTCGCGCGTAGAGCGGGAGTCGAGAGGCGAGCTCGCCCGTGAGCTCCGGCTTCGCGCTCGTGCATCGTTTGTAGCTCGCGAGCGGCGGGCTGTGGATCTGCCCGAAGCACTCGAGCATGCGGTGGTTGAAGGTGTTTTCGGCGGAGATGAGGCCGTGCGGGGCGCCACTGGTGAGGTCGATCAGCCCTTTCCCTTCCATCAAGCAGGCGGCGAGGAAGACGGCGTCGCTCAGCATGCGGGAGGCGCCGAGGAGGTTCAGCCGCACCACATCCGGGGCCCCCGTCGTGCGGGTTGTGAGGGCGAGGTTGTAGAGCGGCACGCGCGTCTTCTTGTTAATCCGCTGCGCCGGAATCTTCGACGTGTTTTGGAGGTAAAGCAAGGCGAAGTTCTCGATCTGCGCGCGCTGGATGAAGTTGACATACCACAGCGCCGGGATGACCTCGCCCTGGCTGAGCAGGTCGAGCTCGATCTGGAACTGCAGAATCAGCTCCATCGTCCGGAGCACGTAGCTATTCGCGAAGAGGGTGAGGACGGTGCTGAGGCTGATGGCCTCCAACCCCGCCGCGGGCGCGACCCCTGGCTGCGTGCCCATGAAAAACGTGATATCCGTGGAGTACGACAGCTCCTGAAACTTCGCGAGCCCGGCGAGGGCGCCGAGCAGGCGTTGATGCGCGAGCCCGCGGTTGCAGAGCATCGTCTCGAGGTGGACCAAAAAGCACTTCCCCGCCTCGGTCGCCCAATGCCGGAGGATCTCCAGGGTTTGCTGCCGCATCTGCGCGAGCAGCTCGGCGGTCGCCTTCGTCGGATCCATCGTTCTGTGCACGCGGTAGCGCAGGACGCCGTCGAGGAGGGCCTCGTCGCCGTCCGCGAGGCGGCGGTAGAGCGGGGAGCCGTACTCCTCGGCGAGCTGCTGCAGCACCCGCTGCTGGATGGAGGGGCCGTACAGGAAGGACTCGTTCGCGTCGTTGCCGAAGAGCACGACGACCGCGACGCAGCGGACGGGCAACATCGGCTGCGCCGCGCCAAACCCTTCGACGAAGTCGACGATCCCCCCAAGCGAGCGGAGCTCCAGCAGCGCGCGGAGCGAGGCGAGCTGGGTGAGCATCCCGTGATACGCCGCGATCGCCTCGGCGAACGGCGTCGCCGCGCAGGGCGTCGTCGGCGCCATGACGCTCACCCAAAACGACGCCTCCCGCTCGCGGAGGAGCCGTGGGTCGACGAC